TGCATGCACCCTTGCACCTCCTCGTAGTTTCACCTGAGGCGATAAAGGGTGGGGCAGACCGACCACATCTTCAGTTCCTTCTCCACCACACATCTACCAGATCTGCAGCAAAGGGGAAAGAAGGTGGGATTGGAATACAGATAGGGACCACACATCTCGAAAAACTTCCAGTTACAGGTAAGTAACATCCTCTTCTTCTTCAAGTGATGGTCCTTCTTGTATTCCACGGAGGATGATTAACAAGCAGTGCCTAGATAGGCGGTGGTTGCGAGGAAAATGACAAAATTGTGGAACAGAGGACCGCTGTGCCAAACAAGGCATCCATCGCCGAATTATGCACTAGAGCATAATGAGAAGAAAAGCTGTGTACTAAACTCCACGTGGCTGCCTTCTATATATCTTCAAGGGGCAGTCGTGGCACACAACGGTAGTTGATACTTGTGCTCTCATGGAATGGGCCTGCATCCCACCTGGTGGGGACCATCCCGATAATTGATAGCAGAGCATAATGCACCCTGAGACCTACTTCAAGATTCTCTGGGTAGAGATGGCCTGCACCTTAATTTTCTCTGCTATGATGACAGTCTGGGAGATTTCCAGGATGGCTTCTTCCTTTGTAGGTAAAAGGCCAGGGTCCTATGTACATCAAGAGAGTGAAGTTGCTGTTCATCATTTGAGGTATGTGGTTTAGGAAAAAAAGTGGGTAGATGTATGGTTGGTTTAGCGGGAAACCAGTTTTGGTACAAATTTGGGATGCAGGTGCAGTGAAACTTTGTCCTTATTGAACGTGATGAAAGCGCGGAGTTGCCACCATGGCCCCCAGTTCACCAGAGGTAATAGCAACCAGGAAGGCGATATTCATAGAAAGGACGAAAAAAGATTAGGAAGCCAGAGGTTCAAAGGGGGAGTTCACTAATGACATAAGAACTAGGTTGAGTTCCCACTGGGAAGTTATAGACTGAATGGGCGGGTATTTACATACAAGGCCCTTCCAGAATCCGTCAGAGGATGGGTAAAAACCCGAATGTCCCTCTACCAGAGGGTGGAAAGTGTTAATAGCTGCTGCGTGCCACCCTGATGGAGCTGAGCACGACCCTGAAGTTTTCAGATGGAGGAAATAATCTATGAGCATTGGGATGTCCACAGCCTCAGGAACAAGACAAGACCTCTCTGTTGGGCCCAAGAAGTGAAACGTGCCCATTTGGCTTGATAGGATTGTCTTGTGGAGTCCTTCCTGCTATTTGAGAGGACATCTCAAACTGCTGACGAACACTCCTGTGCTAGCAGAGGTGTTCATCCAAAAACCAAGCTGTCAGGTGAAGCATCCCTGGATCGGGTGACACAGTCTGCTGTTATGTTGTGTGAGCAGTACCAGAAAAGTCGGTAGCGGGAGGGGAGGATGCTTCAACATATGGTGAAGAAGAGGAAACCAGAACTGGCAAGGCCAGAATGGAGCGATCAGGATGACCATCACCCTCTCCTGTCAGAGTTTGTGAAGGACACGTGGCAAGACTGGTAGGGGAGGGAAGATGTAGTTGATTCGATCCAACCAGTCAACAAGGGTGACGTCTTGTGAATGGGCACCAAGTCCTGCCCTTCAGGACAGGAGCGGGTGACCACCCCGCTACAGGGAGCATTGCACAACTTTAAACGAGCAGCTTTAACACCAAAACAATGTTAACCCGGACGACTTTAAGTGAGGAGTTACTGTACTAGACATTTTGCATGCATTGGTACCAAGTGCATTCAGTACTGTTCAAGGGGAGGACTTCCTGCCATGCTTATGCACATGCTTCCGTGACCCATGGCTAGGCCTTGGTGCGGGGTCCATAGCACTTGTACCAGCAGAGCCAGACTCAGGCTCCACAGTAGGAGGCACACTCTTGGACTGTTCAGGCAGGTGTAAAGGGGGGGGGGGGTTTGTGGCCCCATGGCGACTTCCATGAGGTGCTTCATACGAACAGGGAAGGAGAGGCAGACACTGTACCTGGACGTAGTGTGGGTTACCCCCAAACAGTACAGACAACATTGATGCTCATCACTGAGTGAAAACCGATGAGGGCAGAAACTACAGACTTTGAATCCCAGCCTTTTCAGCATAATCCAGTATCTCAACCTGGATGGTGGGATGAAGATAATTTGGTGGGAAACTGCAAAAGCGGCACCCAAAGTCTTTAAGCATACCAGAACTTTCAGAAAGAAGAAAATTACAGTACTACAAAAACAGCAAAAAACAACAACCCTTGACTATATACAGTATCCAAAACTGGACACTGGGAGAGCAGAGAGGGATGGTTTAGGAATTGTTTGGCAGGAAACTGCCAAAGCAGTGTTTCCAGCCCTTAAACCTACAAAAACTCTAGAATCAAGAAAACTACTATGAAAACTGTAAGAATCCTGACTCTGTACAAAAATCAAAACATTTTTTTCCTGAAAAGTTTGGAAAATGCATCACCAAAGACAAGAGACCAGCAGAAGTTCCAACTCAGACCATACAGTGGTGAGAAGGAACTGAAGACACGGTCACCTTGGGCGAAACCACAAGACCGTGCAAAGGCGCATGCATGGACCAACAGACATTAGTCCTTTGAAAAAGCTCTGGCTCTAGGCACATAGCTGAGAGGAATATAATAGGGACCATCACTTAAACAAGAACCATCACAGATGTATAGTTAACAGAAGGATGAATTGCAGACCACAAGCCTCAGAAAATTCAAGGCCAGAATAGCAGTTCATACAGCAGTTACTAAAAATAAATAAAAGTAGTTATGGAAAAAAGTTTCCAAGACAGACATGAGAATCTCCCAATTTAAATTAGAACCTTAACAATATAATAACCTGGGAGATGGTTTTATTTTTTATTTTTTCACATTGCTGTGCAAAGTCCTTTATCTAAGTTGTCCAAGATAACAGAAGTCCAATTCAAACTGTTACCTAAAATTGTCAGCAAAAGGTAAAGACAAATCGACTGGTTCAAACTGAATTGGTTAGGTTAAAAGAACTGTGATAAGAGGCCCTCCCCAGCACCATGGGTGCATTGTTTCAGGCACCCAGTGGAGAGGTATCAGCGGGGAGGGGGGGAGGGAATCACTTGATGATTACTTGTTCTGTTCATTCCCTCTGGGGCACCTGGCATTGGCCACTGTTGGCAAACAGGATACTGTGCTAGATGGACCTTTGGACTGACCCGGTATGGTCATTCTTATGTTCTTAAACATCCTGACCAGAAAAGGCCAAAGAGAGAGAGAACCGCTGCCACCACCAGAAATCCTGAAGACTACCTGGAATGTAAGAGTTGGGTTCCTGCTCACACCCTTTCCCTTGTGAGTTCTTTTCCTTCTTGCAACTTATTTCTTCCTCTTTTCTATCTCTCTTTTTTGCCTTCTGTTTAATAAGAGTCTGCATCTTTTGCAACAAAGCTGTGAGCTCACAACTAGTGAGGCAGCTAAAAGCAATCCCCCAAACAACCCAAAGCTGGTACCATTTTGCCAGGCCTTGGACTGGCTGATAAGAGCATGTGTTATGCACCTGTGTTTCTCCAGTAGTGAAGCTGCAAGTGAGAGTCAGCACCAGAGACAGAAGCGGCATTTTCTATATTTGGTATTCTTTTCTGTTCCCATTTGTGTGTATTTGTCTTGTTTTGTCTTCAAGGAAACAGGACTGGACTTTAAACAACAATAGCTCCTAATCAGAACAACTAAATTCTTCTCTTTTCCCAAAACAGGACAGTTATTAACATATTTACTACCATCCAAGACTGTCAAAACAGGGTATTTTACCCACAAAAAATCTCTACAGCTAAAGGGAAAATTGGATATTGTTAAAAATGAAAATCTTACTTAAAACTTCACATTTCAAATGTTTTAGCTGTTTTTCCTTCTTTTTCTGCATATTTACCCAAAAGTTTAAGATTTTAACAACTGTTGTTACAATGAGAGTAAGCCAGTGGCAACTTGACACAAAACCCCAGCCCACACTTATCTGTTTAATGTAACAGTACACAAGGATTTCATTAACATATTATCCCTATTTGGGCCCAAGACACTCACTTTTCAACACACCAACCACCCTCACACATAAACTGTATTTAAAAAGTAAATCTCTACCATTGCTTTTTACTGTTTTGAGTACAAATAATGTAATGTACAGTAACCAGCAAACTCACCAACTTTGAAATTGTGCTCGGTCCCATTCAAATTTATGGTCTGAATGTCTGAACAGTGTCACTCCTGGGAGCAAAGGGTTAAATTCTGAGTTTGGAGTGCTGATTACAACCATGGCTGGAGCCATAAAACCAAATACCACTTCTGGAAACTTTTCCAGTTCCGCTGCTTCCAGGTGCTCTATTCTGAAAAGGATAGGATTACATAGGTCCTTAAAGTCTCACAGAGTCTTTTGACTTTCTCTACAATCAATTCAACTAGACTATGTATGTCCTAATATTTTAGTCATGTGCTGCAAAGTGAATAAATATAAGTTGTCGAAGGTGATTCTTTACTATTTTTCATAATCTCTCCCTCTTTCATACTTTTTTTCACCCTTCTATCGACACACACTGCCCCAGGTTCCTAATATGATTAACTTCACACATTAGAAAAGTCAGCCACATCCTGCTAATCTTCCATTTGAATTATGAAAGTGTTAAATGTACAGGATTGAACAAGTTTGCTAAGAGTAAAGGCTTTAAACTCTAATTTCAACCCTCCTGACCTCAATGAGTCTTGCCACATTACAAAGTACAATGCAAAGGAAGAACAGAATGAAACGTGGAATTCTGCTCTATGAATATTTATATTTACAATGTGTTGGATAAGAAAAATTGGAGTACGTAAGCTTAATACTCACAATTCAATGCACGTTACCAAGTCAAAACCAAGCATGCAAGGATCTTTATGAGCAACTGAGCCATGATGCAGGGTCACAGTTAGAGATCTTTCACTTGGTTGCAGATAATCAGCAGGAAGGGGAGACAACCTATGCCTAGGAAAACATTCAAAATTAAACAGCTGTTGACCTAAAAACTCTATATCCTTATAAAGGCTATTAGCTTGACTATGTGAGCAAGTGTACCCATATGCTATGTAGTTGTGCTAAGAGGAGGAAAATGCCAGCTTGCTAGAAATTATTAGCTCAGGAATTGTTAAATAAGAATAAATATTGTTAGCAATATTCTTCACTAACCCCAACAAGTACCAGATATTTAGGTTAGCAAAATACATTAAGTAAATAACAGATATTTGATCATGCAATTGGAGATTTATTGGAAAGTTTGTAAATATGCTAAAAATAAGTCTGTCTGTGAAAAAGAGGAAATTAAAAAAATCAGACTGTAAACAATTCCTGTATAAAATATGCCATGTTGTAAGCAAAATTAGAACCAGACAAATAGGTCAAGCTAATCATTAGGCTGCAAGGAGCAGTTCTCACAGACTTGACAATGTACCTTTCTGTTATGCTCTGACTAACAAATTATTTAATAAAATCAATTAAAGTGACTAATCTGAGGTTTCTTTAAGTACTGAGTAAATTGGAACCTCACTCAATTTGTAACACAATACAAGAAGGATCTGGTTGAGACAAGATTCTTGTCCTGAGTCTCTCCTTAATAAGGGCCTCCTGTAAGAAGCTGTATACGCTTAACTTCTGTTGATTTCAATGGGAGATGAGCATGTTCTGCAACAAACAGGTACAGGAACATGCAAGACAAAAGGATAAGTACGCATTTGTAACTGTTTGGTGCTGAACAATTAATATGACTCAATCTTCCTAAAAAACATTAAAGTTAAGAGGTACTTATCCTCGGTAAAAAGTTAACAGACAAAACAGTTTCCAGTACAATTCTGTCTTTAATTAAAGACCATTTTTACTAGGAAATGATTTTTGAGGGCCTCCTGGATAGTTGCTTAAGATGGAATCACTGCAGTCCCTTACATAGAAAAATATCAATAAATCAATAATCTTCTGAGTGTGTCAATAGACATCCAAGACTTAAAGGAAGCAAACAAAAGAAAAACCTACTATGTAAAGACTGAAGGTAATTGAAATCTATAAATAAGTGCACAGGCTGAGGCTCCATCTTTAAATTATGATAATGTTTAAAATCTATGGGACCAACAATAAGTTCCTGACTGGAAAAAAAAACAGCTTAGATGTTTCGCCTTGATGATTTTAAACCCAAAACTTATTTTTACTTTGTTTTTCTTTTGAAATTATGAAGATTCTTCATACATTTTTCCTTATTACCCAATCACTGCAGCCTGGAGATATTAAAAAGACTAAAACATAACCACAATGTCCTATGTGGACGGCACAGGACAATGGGGGGTTGACAAATGGTTGCTGCAGTAGTTGACTGATACAGGAAAAAATGGTAGATGAACACTCAGCTTCACAACTATACAGAAAAAATAACATTTAAGTTAAATGTGGAGCCTGAAACCTTGACTGTGATGAAGCCTCAAGTGAGAACTGATACAGAATTAAAAAAAAAAATCTGAGCCCTTTTATAGGACCTGACCTTAAAGAGTCTTTCACCATGTGTGTTGCAGAAGAGAACCTGGGCCAAATCTCAACCTTGAAAAGAAGACTGCACCACCAGTCAGGAGAGTACAGTTCTAAGTTCACACCAAACCTATTCAAGTATGGGGGAAGGAAGCTGACAAGAAAGCAGCATTCTTAGCTGCCTTTTGCTTTGTTTCCAACTAATATACTGTCTTTGAAGTTCTTTGCTTCTTTCTGTGTTAACCTATCATATTTCTTGTGAATTGATGTGGCAAAAAAAAAAAGTGGCCAAAAAAAACTTGTGATTTCTTCCCTTCAAAGGCAGTTTGACCTGGACATAGGCAGAACCCATAATTGAAAAATGGAAGTACGTTGTGTGTCCTTGGAATCTATGAAGTCCTCTTATTGTTTGTTGGAAAAAGAAACAAACCTAATACAAATGAGCAGCCACCTGCCATGACTATCTACAATAAGACAAGAAAGTAAAGGACGAACTGGACTTCAGCAATAGTCCTCCAAGATTGCAAAAATCCTACTTTGTTGCCAGATATCTTTGAAGATAAGAGATGCTATTGTCAGCTTTGATGGCAACAGAGTTCCAGAAACATAGCAAACTGAGATGCTTACAAAAACCAAACCAAAACTAAAAAAAAAATCCTTATAATTTCCAATTAAAAAGTTACTATGCATGCATATTAACCTCCTTTCAAAACAAAATAACCAAAATAAATTGGTTATTGAAGACATTTGTAAATTTCCTTTTAAATTTTGTTTCTAAATTATACATTATCAAATAACATATACAGTAATAACATAAATAAATGCAAAGCTCCTTCACCCCATGTAAATAACCACCACCAAGAAAACTTGTGTGTGGTACAATCTATAACCTGCAGCTATCACTGGCGCAATGGTATTTTCAACTTCAACTTTTGTGTTCAGGAAACAGCTTTTTCACCAACTGGTCCATAAATTTGGAACTCAGTCCTGAAGAGTTCACATAACCACAACCCCCCCTGTGCTTTCTCAGCAAAATACAAACCCCATTTCTCTGACCTCACCTTCCCACAATAAAAACAGAAACAACAACGTCCAATCCATATTGATTGGAAAGAAAAGAGAGCAAAATATAACTTATGCAAATGTCAATTTTGGGAAGAGCTCAGCTAATCATAGTGATGGGTGCCACATAAGAACTTAAACAGATTTGATGCCAACAATAGCATATGGCATACCAGTAGTTTTACAAAACCACCATACCAATTCCCAATATACTCAATCTTTACATACCAAATAGTTCATAACTTTACATTTATCCTTATGCTGAATCTCTTGACAACTACTGCTGCAACATGCTGTTAGGCTGAACCAAATACTGAATTATTAAGAAAAATAATGCAAAAAGCATCTTACATTTTCTCCTTCATCACATTCTCCCTGATATCTAGCCCAGCTAGCACCTCAATGCATTTGCAGAATTTCAGCATCCAGAGTAATGTACAGTCAGCACATCCCAAGTCTGCAACCTATAAAGTAGATTTGAAAACAATGGCATTTTAACACCCCGAATTCTTAAATTATTTGTGTGACTCAAAAAATATGTTCTGCGTTGATATTAAACAACATTTTTATGAAATAGGAATTAAATACATGGCATTTCTATGAAACTTTATAATTTAGTTTTACAAGAGTTACATGAATTGAAAAGATTCTTTACAAAGGACATTTAGGCAGGCCCCAGTCCTGCAAACTGTTCTACACAGGTTGGCCTTTATGCAGTTAATAGGGCTCCACACGAGCATAAGGGTTCACTCCTGTGCAATAGTTTGGATCCCGATCCAGCAAAGACTTACTCATGCTCATAGGTGCTGGTACTAGGGGTGCTGCTGCACCCCCATCCCCCAACCCAAATACATGGTTTCCACATTCAGCAGCTCCACTATAAAAATTGTTCCAGCACCACTGCACATGCTTAACTCTATGCAATGAGTAGTCCGTTGATTTCATTGGGACTACTCACAATGCATAAAGTTAAGAACCTGCCCAGCACCATCTAGATAGCTAGGCAGGGCCCTATCAACAATGAATTGGTAGTCTCAGTTCAGGCTGGGTTTTTTGGGTTTTGTTTTGTTTTTTTGGGGGGAGGGGGTATCTATTGTAATCTCAGGGACTAGATGAGCATGCAAACTAAACAACCACTCTACACCCTGGTACTCCATGCAGATCAGGATTGAAGCACACTGAAGCTCAGCTGATGTGGGGAAGCCAAAACTGTTTCTACTGAGGCTAAATCTGACCTGTTGATAAACAGAGAACTCCAGTTTTTACACTAAATTAATTTACCAAAAAAAAAATTAATTTTGCATTGCCAAGACAGGAGCATCAAAGCTTTATAGATACAGATGCAACGGAGCTACTGAACTGATCCTGTTCAAAACCAGATCAAAATGCCCTGATCTCATAAGTGGAACAGAAAAGTGCTTTATAAAGCAATAAATTAGCTGTTGGTAATATGAATACATAAGAAACACAATTGTCATTATATGTCTGCCAAAAGCTCACATATTCCCTGAGACATTAAAATCTGTTTCACAGAGACCAAATGTTGGGGAGGACACTGAGGTTAAGCCTAGATCCCAACATTTTTTTATTTCAAAACTTAAAAAATTAAAAAGGTTAGCACTTTTAATTTTTTATCTTCAAAGCTTTTTAAATCAGTAAGTGCCTTGGCATCTTAAATTTCCAGTGGAAAAAAAGGACTCTTTTATTTTTGCCCAGATGATTGCATACTAACACTATCCCAGATTCTTAATGTCTTTCTTTTGTGTGAGTGTGCATTTTTGTGTGAATGTGAGAGATGAGCCTGGCACTATACTGGCACTACAAAACAGTATAGTGAAAGATGTCTAGGGCTTGTCTTCATTGCAACAGTTTGCTTAACTTGATGAGAGCAACCACTCTGCTAAGCAACACTGTATGTAGTAATTTTGATTAGCAGCACAGGGTACATCTATACTGCAGCTGGCTGTGTGCCTCCCAATGTAAGTAGACAGACACGTGCTAGCATCGCTCAAGCTATCATGCTGAAAATTGCAGTGTGGCCGTTGCAACGTGGATGGCAGTTCAGGCTAGCCACTCAAGCGTGGCTGAGCTACCCCAAGCTGCCACCTGTGCTGCAATATCCATCACATTTTTTTTAGTATGCCAACTCGAGCAAAGCTAGTGCAAGTCTTCCTACCCACTTTGCGAGTCATGTTTCCAGATGCAGAGTAGACATATAGGTAGAGTGATTGGATTAACTGCTTCTGAGTTGTTGTAACTTGAGCTGCTGCATCCCCACAGTATTACTAGCAAGCCTCAGCAGCACTTGAGTTTCAACCCCACACCCACAAGCTACCTTGAGTTTAAAGCACCACTTAAAAATCTCTAACTTGAGTTCTATGTGGACAGAAGTTGGGTTAGGGGCAAAACCTGAGTTAGTTCAAGCTAACATTGCAGTGAAGACAAACCTTTAGGGGAAGGAGCTGGGACTAAGCCCTTCAAAGAGTCTTTTTAAATATTTTTTCCTTTCAAAAGAAAACAATAAAATGTTCAGAAAACCACCCGATGCCCAGCAAGAGGCAAACATATTTTTATTTGTGTTTTTTAAGCTCCAAAGAACACTTGAGTTCAAGTGTTTTTTCTTCAGTTGACTAGTTGTATGAGCCTGGAAAAAGCCAAACATGGCTGCCAAGAATAGTTTGCCAAGGTAACTCAGATTTAACAGAACTCCCCGAAGTGCTGGTTCTTGGCACTGAAAGTCAGACAACACTGGTATTTGCTGTTTCTAGATGTCTTGTGCCAGCATTTACTGTATCTTTTAAAATTTAAGCTCTGAAAAAACAAACATACCAACCTTCTTAGGTTTGTATTTAATCACTAAATCTTTAATGAATTGGTAACGTTGTTTGTACAGGGGAGGTATGAACTTAATTGTTCCTGTGAGATCATCCTTTTGAAGATTCGTATCCATCATACAGTCCACACTAAAAATTAAAAATAAATTATGTTTCTGAAACATTTTCACAACGAATTCTATCAGTTTATTGTTCTCTGTGATACTCACTTCATAATTAAGCAAATTGAGATGTGATCCTGTTTTCATATTAAGTCAGTGACAAAATTCTTACTGATGTCAATGGGAACAAAATGAGACTTTATACCCCTTTCACCATATTTGACAATGAAAATACCCTTTACACAGTCATAATAGAAATCAGCCATTTCCCAACAGCTTGTTTGTCTTTGTCCATCCAAAGGGGGGGGGGGGCGCAAGAGGGGAGAAGAGGTGTCAGCACAATCCACTCTGTAGTCTCGTTGGCTAATTTTTCAAACAATAACATATCCTACCCAAAATATCATTTTCATGCCTTTCCTATTTCATCTGCTTTGTTTTATATTTACTGTTTGCATATTTGTTTGGCTCAATATACTTTATTGAAAGTGGCAAATAACAGGAAGTGTTTTTTTTATGATTAACGTTCCTATATAACATGAAAGGTTCAGTCAGCCCTTAGCTTTAGATTTATTACAAATTAGAGGCATATAATCAGTGCCTGCAGTAAAGTTTTAATGATATTGCTAATAAAATGCAATGTCTCACTGGAAAGATAATCATTACTGCACTTCCAAACTCTGCATTTTCCCCATTACTTGTTACATCTTTGTACAAATAGATGTTTGGAAAGAAAAATCCTCCTAAACCTAAAAACAAGGGTTTCATAATATTAATAACATGATAAATTATGAATGAAGTCAGCAGGAATCAGGTAAGCTAGGCAGTGCAAAGTCTTTTGAATAGGTGTCTTTCTAGTTCAATGCTCACAGTTTGCACCTGTGGTGAACAGCTCCCTGGCAGATCTAATTAGAAAATTGCTATCAAACACGTTTGTGACAAGGCTACTGACAATGTTGCCTTTGCATGGCCTTCAAAGCCTTCTTAGGCTGTCTCATCATTGAAAGAGATGTGGTTTGGGATCTCTCTCAAGAAATACAAGAAATGAAGGGAAATACAGCTCTTTGTGCCGTGAGCCAGGCTCCAGGGTCAGTGCCCAGGCTGGGCAATTGTGCATCTTCCAGCCATTCCAAGCGAAATACCAGGACTGTTTTTTGTGGTATCACCAACTACTGAATTTAGAGTAAAAACCCACTCATGTCACATATGTTCCCCTGGAGCCCCAAATTCCGGGGCTCCACCCCTCAGTCTGCACCCACAACCACCCCCCCCCCAAACACTAGGAAACGCCCCCACCTCATGCTGCAGCCCCTGCACCCTCGGGCCTTTCCCTACACCTCATTCGCTGTGTTTCAGATCCTCGGGAGCTCCTCTCCCCGGCACCGATCCCTGACCCCACTCCTAAACCCTAGGGCTCTTCACGCTGCCTCAGCCCCAAGAGCCGCTCCTCTGCCTCCGCGACGGATACCTGTGGCCGCCCTGCAGGCTGGCGGGGTGAGAGGCCCCTCAGGCCACGTGACCGAGGGGAGGCGGAGGCAGAGAGTTAGTGGCTCTCGCGGAGCCGTCCACACGAGGGCGGTTAGCCGGTGGCAGAGAGCGCCCCGCCCCGCCGTGTCTGACGGAACACCCAGTTCCTCCCTCCCCTCGACTTGGCTACCGCACATCTGCTCTGCTCTAATCCCCCTCCGGGCTTTCTGTATTCCCAGGGCCCCTTCGTCTCTCCCTAACCCCCAGTACTGGTCTGTTCCCCGCTCTTTCTCACCTTGACAGCCCCACCCCCACCCAAAGCCACCCTCTGTCTCTGCCTGGGTCACCTCCCAGTCCTTTCTGTCCCAGCCTTACCCTCCATATTTCCTTTACTTTAGGGATTTTTTTTCCCCCTGTAGGGGAAGAAGGAAAAGAATG